AAGCTCTGGTTCCTCCTGAGGGGCCAGAGGTGACCGAGATTCCTGCTGGGAACTGCAGGCTCCAATGCAGCAGTTCCTAGGGACAGGGCAGCAGCTGTGGGATCTCCTTGGAGGCTGCTGGGACATTGCTTTGGCCAACTTCAGTGGCAGAAGGGACCCACATGTAGGACAGGGGAACCTGTCACTGTTCCTTCTGTCCAGGGCAGCCCCTAGAGGTGTTCAGGTGACCAAATGGAGTCAGGTGGCACAGGGAGAGAGGTCTCTCTCCTGTTCTTTCTCAGGGTATTTTCTACAGGTCCTCAGAGTACAATGGCAGTTGTCTCCTGGACATCCCTTCACTGCTGAACCTACTTCAGGGCAGCTGAGCCTGGATTGAATAGCCAAAGAGGGGCCTGTAGTGCCAGGGGAGGTGCCAGGGCTCTGCAGCACAAGTGCAGCAGCTGCCCTGGACAGCACAGGGCCTGTGCGGGGACCCCGTCCCCATTCCCAGCAGTTGTGGGACAGGCACCACCCAGGGCTTCTCAGACACATTGGGGGCCTTTGGGGCAGGGAGTGAATCCCAGCCCTGCAGGGACACAAAGGCTGTCCCTTCTCTGCCCAGCCAAGGCCGGGCCAGGCACGAGTCCAAATCCCATCAGCCCAGGCTGTCCACACTTGTTTCCTCCCTCTGCTGGCTCTGCTCTCCCCCAGCATTTCAGCAGCATGTGCTGATCTCCTCAGGGATCAGGCCTGGGATTTTCCCCCTGGGCCTGAGTCCCAGCACGTCCACCCCCAAGGCCATTGTCAGCAAAGCCTCTGCCCACCCCAGCTCTCGGGGCTTTCAGAGCAGCTTTCCCCTCTGCAAGTCTGTTCTTACCCCGGTGCCCCCGCTGAGGGGCTGCAGCCAGACAGGCCCCAATGCCCTGCGTGTGGGGCACAGGCAGGAGGAGCTGCAGCCCCAAGTCTCTCTTCATTCCACTTGCAGGCAATAACAGCCCAGGCCTGCTGAGACAGCTCCCAGGTTGCAGGGCTGTGATGGGCTGGGAGAGAAGGTCAAGGAGACACAGGAGAGAAGGAGCAGGAGAGAGGTGTCCTCAGCAGGAAGGAGCTTCTGGGACCTGTGGAGCTGCTCTAGGGGATGAACAAACTGGGTGAACTTTTGTGGGTGAGGGTGAGAGGAGAGAGTGGTTTGGGTGACATTGTGGAGTGAGACAAAGAGCCCATTCCAGTTGGCTTTGATAACCCTGGAATTCACTGGAAAGGCAGCACGAGCGGATGGAAAGAGTCCCAGAGGTTGGTGCAGGGTCTTGGTGAAGACAGCCCTTGGGCCACAGGCCTTTAGAGCACAGCTGCCAGGCTGGTGGACAACAGGGAGGCTCATCTGCATCTGCTTCTGTCCAAGGGGAACCAAGAGGTTCCCATAGTAAGTGACTGTAGTGATGGGAATGTACGATGGTTGCCATGGTAAGTGACTGTAGCAACGCGACTGTATGATGGTTGCCATGGTAACTGACCATAGCAATGGGAATGTATGATGGTTGCCATGGTAACTGACCATAGCAATGGGAATGTATGATGGTTGCTATAGTAACCGACTGTAGCAATGGGAGTGTGTGGTTGTGGTTGCCATGGTAACCAGCCGTGGCAATTAGAATGTATGGTGGTTGCCATGGTAAGCGACCAGAGCAATAAGAATGTATGATGGTTTCCATAGTAACCAACTGTAGCGATAGGAATGTATGATGGTTGCTATGGTAACTGACCGTTGCAATGGGAATGTGTGGTGGTTGCCATGGTAACCTCCCATAGCAATGGGAATGTATGATGGTTGCCATGGTAACTGACTGTAGAAACGGGAATGTGTGGTGCTTGACATGGTAACCGACTGCACCAGTGGGAGGTATGGTGATTGCCATGGTAACCGACCATAGCAGTGGGATGGTTGCCATGGTAGCTAGCTGTAGCAATTTGAATCTATGCTGGTTGCCGTAGTAAGTGACCGTAGAAACCGGAATGTATGGTGGTTGCCATAGTAACCGAGTGTACCAGTGGGAGGTATGGTGGTTGCCATAGTAACCGAGTGTACCAGTGGGAGGTATGCTTGTTGCCATGGTAACCGACCGTTCCAACACAACTGTATGATGTTTGCCATGGTAACTGACCGCAGCAACAGGAATGAATGATGGCTGCCATGGTAACCGACCATAGCAATGGGAATGTATGATGGTTGCCATGGTAACTGACCATAGCATTGGGAATGTATGATGGTTGCCATGGTAACCGACCATAGCATTGGGAATGTCTTATGGTTGCCATGGTAACCAACCATAGCAATAAGAATGTATGATGGTTTCCATGGTAAATGACGATAGCAATGGAAATGTATGGTGGTTGCCATGGTAACCGACTGTATCAGTGGGAAGTATGATGGGAGGGGGGTGGGAAAGCAGGAGGGGTGTGTGCAGCCTGCAAGGCCAGAGCAGCAGCAGGGCCAGGGCAGGACAGCCTGCAGGAGAGATGGCCAAGGGCTCTGGCAGGGCTGCAAGGCCCAAAGGCACCCAGGCCTTTGTCCCCTTGCCTCTGGCAGCTGCCTCTGCCACTCAGGCCACCACAAGCCACTTTCCTGGCAGGTTCTGCCCTTGGGTTCTGCCTCGCCCCTCCCTCAGCAGCCTGGCAGGGGTTGCCCAGTTTTGGGCCTTTGTTGTTCCTCCCCCTCCCATCCCAGTGCCCCCCAAACAGCCCTGAGCCAGCCGGGAGGGACAGGATCTGCTGGGCCAGGGCCTGGGGCTCAGCCCTTGGCCTTTGTGCTCCACAAAACCAAGGCAGGCTTTGCTCAGCATTGCAGGGGCCTGCCCAGAGCCTTTGTCTGCCTGCACTCCTGGCCTCCAAGGAGCTGCTCCAAGGAGTCCCTGGGGAGGCTTTGGCAGTGCCTGCCCTCAGTGGGGCCCAGCAATGCTTCAAGGCACTTGCAGTTTGGCTTCTGACTTCTTCAGCAGCTGCTTCAATCTTCTCTCACTACCTCAGGATCATGGGCTGGGCTGCAAACACACCCTGGGGCTCATTAAAATCCTGAAATCCCTCAGGATCTCTTTGTCTTCCTTTAATTATCTTCAAGGTAATTTCAAAACAAGTCTTCAGTATTTGTAGTTTTCTTTTTTTAATTCAATTATGGATATATTTTAGTTCAGAGAAGAGGTGATAGAGGTGTTCTCCAAGTGATCTTGATGCTGAATGTCTCCTCAGGAGATCCACACTGACCCTGGATGATCAACCTCGCTCCTCACCCCCCAACCTCACCAGTTCTGACATGGCCCATCTTGGACTGACAGCTGATGCAGCTCCAAACACACTGTGGAATCCATACTCTCCCTTACCCTTATCCTGCCTTTCCCTTATGCATTTTCCCTAAAGGTTCTCTTTATGCCATGTTGCTGTAGATGAGAGATAGAGATGATAACACTCAAAATGGCAACATACCTGTTTACCTTTGAAACAACATTGTTCTAAAATAAACCCTACATATATGTTTTCAAACACCGAATATTCAGTGTCGTTTCACTCTAATCCACCCCAAGGGATTTATTAATAAGAACCTGGTTACCCCCCCCTTTCTGGAGAGGGTGGTAGCAGACCCCTTGTAGCAGGAAAAGAATCTGATGGGAGAATGCAAGCACTGCCAGCTCTCTGTGGGGAGTTACTGCTGGTGCCAAGGGCTTGGTTTAGTGTTGAATTGGGCCCAACCCAGCCTGGTTCCCCAGCCTTCCAACACACATCCTGCTTTTGGAAGCAGAGTTTGACAGGTCAGCTGCTCACTGGCCTGGGAATATGTGACTGCTGATCCATCCCTGGATAAGCATAAAAGCCCAGGGCCAACTTTGACAGAGCAGATTCTTCCACAGACTTTGTTGAAGTGTGTGCAGCTTCTGCTGGGAAGCAGGGACAGCTCTTGATGGTCACTGCCCAGGGGGGAAAAGAAAGAGAGAGCTCTGCCTTGATTTATTTCTATCAGACCCCGCCGGGCCCTCCCCGCTTCCTGCCGGGATCGGACACCGCCGGCGGCCCCGGCCCTGCCGGGCTCCATCAGCCTGAGGAATTGCTCCGGAGGAGGGGCCGGGGCTTCCTCTTGGCCTTCGTCTCCCTGGCGCTGGGGCTCGGCTTCTACCTGCGCCAGAAGGTGAGGGGGGTCCCAGGGGGTCGTGTGTCCCCCCAGAGCGTCTGTGCCCCCCCGGGGACCCCCCACCCCGGTGTCCCCCCCTTTTCTCTCCCCACAGAGCTCCTGAGCCGCCGGCGGCCGCAGCCCCTCCCCGGGGCCTCGGGCCCAGCCTGGACCCCCCCCATCCCCGTGAGGATTTTGGGGGGGTCGTGTGTCCCCCCTGTCCCTGCTGTCACTCTGCCTCCAGCCGGCTGCTCCCAGTGATCCCAGTAAAGCTTCCAGTTCTCCCCAGTCCCGGTTATTAATATTTATATATATTAATATATGTTTTTATATATTTTTATATAATATATTGATATATGGTATATATCAATATATAATTATATATTTATATATAATGTATTGATATATAATATATATCAATAATATATAAATATATAAAATATATATAAAATAAATATTCAAATATATAAAGAATATATACATTTATATATATGTTTTTATATATCAATATATAAATATATTGATATATAATATATATCAATAACATATGTAAGTATATAAAATGTATATAAAATGTATATAAAATGTATATAAAATGTATATAAAATGTATATAAAATGTATATAAAATAAATAAAACATTTAAATACATAAATGACGTATAGAAATTAATACATAAATATGTATTTATGTATTTATATATATTGATATATAATTTATATCAATAATATATATACAAATGTATAATACGTGTATATAAATAAATAAATAAATAAATAAATAATTTACATAAAAGTATATTGAGATAAATAAATTATTGATATAATATTTCAGATCCACACTTGTAAGGAACAGAAACCCAGAGCCGGGTGGTTTCCAACCAGAATTTATTATCTGAGAAAAGCAAATTCAGCGCTGGGGGATCAGGGAGGGGTTGAAAGGAGACACTTGTTCTCTATTTATTCTCTCTATAAATATATACATTCCTTACACAACAGCAAAAACATTACCCATTGTCAGGTCAGACACTGCCAGATGGGTGCTTGTTATCTGCACAGTTATCAACTTTGCAGAAAGGTGTCATTATCTAGTTAACTAAACCAAGTCCCTTCACTATAAATTTTAGACAAGGTAAAAGGGAGAACGATTTGAGGTCCATAAAAAGAAAACAGCCTGAGGTCAACACAACCCGGAGAGAGAAAAGAAAAAGAAATCGTAAAACTTAATTGGGCCCCTGTAAAGACATAAACCAAGTTACCTCCCTTTTACCTTGTCTAAGGTTCATAGTGAAGGGACTTGGTTTAGTTAACTAGATAATGACACCCAGTCCCTCCCAGTCCCTCCCAGTGGCTCCTGTTGCATTGACCAGTCCCGTTGGCTGGCGGGACTGGTTTCGCTGTTGGGAGGGCAGAACTGGTGGGCACAGAAACCATTTATCTGGAGTTTTTCCGCCCAAGATGTGCGGGTCAGCCTCTGATTGCTGACACAGCAGGCATGCTGGAGGGAGGGAGACAGTGGCCCCGGGCATGGCACCTGGATGAACTGGGGGTCTGACCCTGCTGGTGGGAGCAGTTTCGCCTGCATTCAGGCCCCCGACTGCTGGAGCAGCTGCTGTCCTCAGTTTCTGGGACGCTGCTGTGGGGTGACCCCGATGTTACCTGACTGTCAGGGCTGGAGCTGCTCGTCTCCTGGGAGGGGGATTCCAGAGTCTCCTCCGATGTTGCCTGTTGGTTGCTATGGAGTTTGCTCTTACTGGGGGTGATGGTCTCGTATTCTGTCGAGTCGTCAGAAGATTCCTTCATGAGAGCAACATGCTCTGGGTCTTAACTGGAGGCTGTAAGGGGAAGCAGGAGGGACAAGATCGTTCCAGACCTGGGACAAGATAGGCCAGAGCAGTGCCCCCAGCCCTCCTGGAGCAGACAAGCTCAGCCAAGCCAACCCTGGACACCCATTGCCAGGCCCAGGGGCACCAGCTGCCAGGATCACCAGGGTGCGTTGCCTTTTCCCTGTGCCCGGGACTGCACAGCCATCACATTCCCATCTGGTTCTGCTGTCCCCAGGCCAGAGCAGTGCCTGTGGGTGCCCTCGGCAGCACAGGAGGAGCACAGGAGCAGTTCCCAGGGCCTGGGGAAGCAAACGAGTTCATGGAGGTGCTGAGCTCTTCTCCTGGGTCCTTCTGCTTCAAGCCCTGCAGAGCCCTGGGGTGCAGCTTTGGCAACTTACCCCTCCTCCTCTGCCTCCTGCCTGCCTCCTGGACAAAGGCACTCACTGGCATCCCAGTGCCTGTGTGTCTCTTCTAGCTCGGGCAATGCATTAAAGCCCTCCCATGATGGTGGCCTGATGGGAAAAGAAACCTGATGAGCTCCCTCTGTCCTGGAATCGGGCAGGTGCAGGGTGTCCCTGCCTTCCCGCTGTGCCATCACAGCAGGGGATGGTGGCCCCGCTCTGGCCTCAGATGCAGCAGCTCTGCAAAGAGCAGAGCAGCCCCATCAGCAGCAGCCTCAGGGCCTCCTCCTTGTCCCAGAGCTGGTTGGAAGGGCTGGGCTTTCTTGCTTGGGGTCTGGGCTGAGCTCCAGCAAACCTCGCCTGGCCCAAATTTCCCTACTTTTTTCACCTTCTGTGCCGCCCGGGAGACTACATCTGGTAGTAGAGAGTAAGAAATAAAAAATCTATTACAACCAACAACTGGTCCTAGCAGCCAAAGCTTCCAGGCTTTCTTTCCTGGTGGAAAGGGCTGCTGTTCCCTTCTTTCAGCCCTGAGCTGCAATGGCCGGCTCCCACCTCCCCAAAACTGTACACAAATGAACATTCCTCCCAGACAAAAAGGTGCCACCACAGAAAGGTCTTGCTGCCCAAGAAGTGCCCAGGCTGCCACACAAACTGCACCTCAAAGCCAGAGGATGCAGACTTTTTTTCCTGAGGGAAGGGGCTGCTGTTCCCTTTTTTCAGCCCTGCACTACAATTGCCAATCTAACTCCCAAAATTGAATCCAAATTAAGATTCCTGCCAGACAAAAGGTGCCACCACAGAAAGCTCTTGCTGCCCAAGAAGTGCCCAAGCTGCCCCACCAACTGTACCTCCAAGCCAAAGCTTCCAGGCTTTCTTTCCTTGGGGTAAGGCTGTTGTTTCTTTCTTTTCGGAACCCTGCACTCGACTCCCAAAATTGAAGACAGACAAAGATTACCCCCAAACATGAGGTGCCCAGTCCAGGCCTCCCTGGACACTCTGCCAGTGCCACATCAAGATCCTGTGCAGCAACACGTGCTGGGTTGTGTCCTATGGCAAAAGCAGGTGTTCCCGACTCCAGGGCTCTTCCCCGATCCAGTATGGCAAGAACAGGAGACGGAGTATCTCGGCACCTCAGTTACTTCTGGCAAGATACTCCATCCCTCCCAGAGCCTCTGGGAGACCTGCCGGAGTCACACACAGGAGCCCCTCTGGCCAGGTCTCCCTGCTGCCGGGGAGGGGCGGGGAAGAGCAGAGCCCGCTCCTCGCCGAGGATGCACATGGCAGCAAAAGGCTGCGGGTAGGAGTGGGAGCCCAGGCCATTGCAGTCTAAGATTCCCAGGAGCAGGTGGCCCAGCAGCTCCTGTCCCCAAGACACCGGTTCTCAATCCACGGCTCCCGGGAAGCTGCGGCTTTGCCGGAGGAGAAGATCCTTTCTCTGGATCTGGACAAGATCGTCCAGTGACGAAGGCAAGTGCTTCCAACTCCAGGGCTGTCTCTTGAGCCGCCTCTAGAGTAGAATATCAGGGAATATCTCCGCATCTCTGTTCCTCCCTGCGATAGCCTCCATCCCTTCCCCAAGCTCTGGCAGTCCTGGTGGACTGCAGGCAGATTAGCCTCTGCCTAAGGGACAAAATCCAGCCTATACGGCAAGGACTTCAAGTAGTTCAGTTTTGAGCCAGTAGGGCACTGCAGTACTGTTGTGTAAACACTAAATAAGGAGAAGGGGAAGGAAGAAAATAGAAACTTTTTTTTTTTGGTTGCAAATAGGTTTTTTTCACGTGGGTTTAGGGTGGATATTTGGGAAAGGTTCTTCCCTCCGAGGGTGGTTGGGCACTGGACCAGGCTCCCCAGGGCAGTGGTCACAGCACCAAGGCTGGCAGAGTTCAGGCACACGGTGTGACTCTTGGGGTCGGTGCCGTGCCGGGCAAAGGCTTGGACTCGACGCTCCTCGTGGGTCCCTTCCAACTGAGCATATTCTGTGATTGTGCGATGAGTTCCCTCTCTTTCAACACTTTTGTTCTTTTTAGGGCTCCTCGCTGCCCGGGGGCCGAAGCCCGCCTTCCGCGCGCCTGCTTCCCTGGCCGTTGTGGCGGCCGCAGCCAGGCGCTGAGTGCCCGCTCCCCGCGCGGGCAGGGCCGCTGGCTCCAGGAGTGGGGGGGCAGCGCCGGCGCCTCGAGGATTCCCGGGATTCCCTCGCCGGTTTCCAGGCAACGCTCCCCGCGCGCTCCGCGCTCCAGGGCCGAACGTGCGCAGCCAATGGGAGGCGGCGGAGTGGGCGGGGCGAGGCGGGGATTGGGCGGGGCGGGGGCGGGGCCGGGAGGGGCGGTTGGTGGGGTTTGGGTGGGAGCGGGCGGGGCCGGGAGCGCTGCCGCTGAGCGACCCCCGGGCAGCGACCCCCGGGCAGCGACCCCCGGGCAGCGACCCCCGGGCAGCGACCCCCGGGCAGCGACCCCCGGGCAGCGGCCCCAAGACCCCCGGCGAGTGGCCCCCGGTGCGTGGCCCCGGGGGAGGGACCCCCCGTGCGCGGCCCCCCGGCGAGTGGCCGCTGGTGAGCGACCCCCGGTGAGCGACCCCCAGTAAGTGACAGCCGGTGAGCGACCCGCGGTGAACAAGCCCCGGTAAGTGACCCCTGGGGAGGGACCCCCGGTGAGCGACCCGCGGTGAACAACCCCTGGCAAGTGACCCCCGGGGAGGGAACCCCGGTAAGTCACCCCCGAGGAGGGACCCCCGGTGAGTGAGCCCCGGGGACAGTCCCCCGGTGCGCGGCCCCCGGGGGTGTCTGTCCGGGGCTGGGCGCGTTCCTTCCCCGTGCAGAGCCGAGCGGGGCCGTGGCGGGAGCGGGGCCGGAGCGGAGCCGGCCGGGGGGGCAGAGGGGAGCCCTGAGCCGCCTTCTGCCGAGGGGGCTGCTGGAAAGGAGCCTGCGCTGGGAGGAGCGGGGCACGTGGCCCGAGGCTGAGGCAGGGGAGCTTCAGGTCAGCTCCTGGAGAAAGGTTTCTGGCTGTGTTTTTCGGGGGGGGCTCGGGCACTGCAATGGGTTGCCCAGGCGGAGCCAGCACGCCGGCAGGTGTTTCAGAGGCACCTGCATCTGGCCATGGCTGACACGCTTTAGTGGTTTGGGGGTTGCTGGGGCAGTGCTGGGCTGACAGATGGACTTGATGGAATCATGGAACGTGCTGAGTTGGGAGGGTCCCACCGGCACCGTGGAGTCCAGCTCCTGAGTTTTAGGCACCACTAAAGGAACTGAATCTGCATCGAGCTGTTTGGCTCCAAAAACTCTTCTGCCCCTAGTCTACACTGCCAAGTAAAACAAAACAGACCGTGCAAAATAGAGGCCTGTGTTCCCCCCAAAGGGAAGGCAGGCAGTTACAAACCAGGACAGTAAATCAAAGCTCAGAACATACGTTCTTGGTCCCCACAGTTGTATGACACATCAAACCAGTCCTCTGTTCATTACCCGTGTAGAACTCTCATCAGGAACCCCAAACTTTCTTGTGTGTATTTGTATAGATATGTATAGATATGTGTAGGTAGATAGATATACATACATAGATATGTATAGGTATATATTTGTGTGTATCTCTGTAAGATTCTGTATCTTTGGATGTGATATTGGCATGCTATTGTTGTGTGGCAACAAGTGGACTTAAAAGGTTGCAACACTTTAGGGGATCACCTTTCTGCTTATGGGTCCTATTTTTTAAAGAAGGTAACAAGAAAAGAGCTCTTTAGCCAAATATAAGTTAAGACATTAATCAGAGCAAAGGTATTGATTTTTATTTCCAATTGTACAACAAATTATTCAACTATTTCCATACTCCAAAGCTGGGTTGGAAACTTCTCCCTCAGAAATAAGAAAAACTGTTTTCCGAGGCTGTTACTGACAACCATGGCAGAGTTTCCAATAACAACTCTGCATTCTTGAAATGCAAAGCCTGAAAAATGAAACAAGCGTTAACCTGGAATTCTTGTTGCCAGCACTGATCTGGACAGAAGTTATTAGAGAGTGGAGCAAAGCTAGCACCACAAACAACCTTGGGCTCTGCATTCGTTGGTCATGGCAACAAAGTTTTGCTTTTCAACCCATCTGCTAAGGAAACCTTGCCAGAACTGTGAGCTTATAACACTACTTTTCTTAAGAAGTTAGGAGGCCTTAATCCAGTGTACAGAGATGAGACCCTGAAATAGGAGAGAGTCCAGTTGCTGATGATCAGTGCAGATGAGGAATCAGCTCTGCTGAGTAGACTTCAAGCTTTGTGATTTTTACAAGTGGACTATTTCAAATCTGTTGTAGAAGAAACAGTCTTTTCTGTTTTATCAACTTTCCACTTTCAGAAAACTGGAGTTTATCCCTCAAATTCAGCCTGTAGTTTCAAAAGATAAAAATCCTTAGAGGAAACCTTTCAGCCTCAGTAGCCAATTGCAACGTGCCCAGGGAAGTTCAGCAACAGCACCGTTCATTAAATGAACTGTTCTGGACCAGCCATCCCAGAGAGATTGAGCTCCAGTGCTAAACCCCATAGAGTGCCAAGTGCCATAAGAGCTGATTTTTGGCTTCGCTGAGATTCTCTCTGGTTTCATTTGGTGTAGCTGGCACATCTGGAGCAAAGGGTCTGGGCAAAAGTACATCCTTAGAAGGGTCCAGTACAAATCATGTGACAAGATTAGCGATTTCTCTAATTGAGGAAGTATATTAGATACACATATGTATTTTTCTACCTCCTCTTTCCGCACTGCTGCTGTATTCCTTCGTCATGCCCTGTGAGCAGTCCCAGTGTTCTGTGATTGACGCCATAAGGGACTTGCTAACAAGGAACAAACACCTCCGAGACAAAACATGCCACCACAGAAAGCTCTTGCTGCCCAAGAAATGCCAAGGCTACCACAACGACTGCACCTGAAGCCAAAGGATCCAGACTTTCTTTCCTGGGGGAAAGGGCTGCTGATTCCCTTTTTTCAGCCCTGCGCTGCAATGGCAGGTCCTACCTTTTAAAAAATTGACTCCAGCCGAAGATTCCTGCCAGACAAAAGATGCCACCACAGAAAAATCTTGCTGCCCAAGAAGTGCCCAGGCTGCGCCAAAAGCTGCACCTCAAAGCCAAAGCTTCCAGACCTATTTTCCTGGTGGAAAGAGCTGCTGTTCCCTTTTTTCTGCCCTACACTACAACAGCCTGTCTCACCTCCGGGAAAATTGAATCCAACTGAAGATTCGTGCCAGACAAAAGGAGCCACCAAAGAAAACACTTGCTGCCCAAGAAGTGCCACACAGCCCCAACAACTACACCTGAATTAAAGGTTCCAGATTTTTTTCCTGGTGGAAAGAGCTGCTGTTCCCTTTTTTCAGCCCTGCTTTGCAATGGCCAATCCCACCTCCTGGAAATTGGAATGTAAATGAAGATTCCTGCCAGAC